ACATCAAAACAGGTACGGCTCGATGACTCGAGCAATTATTTCGAAACAAAATGCGTCTTAAACAAAATACTGGAAATATCTTAAATGCTTAAAATGGCTTTTAAAAAATAAATCATGTTAATTGCCAGGCTACCTAGGAACTCGACGGGCCCGGGATGGTGCAGCAGTCCAATTCTTGAGAACAACTCCCTTCTCCATGGTCTGAATGGTAAGGCCTTCTTCCACCTCCTCCTCAACTATCACATTGCAACCTATATCCTCGTCTTCTATAAACAGGTTCCTCAGTCCAGCCAAAGCTTCCTCCTATGCAGATCCCCATATTATGTCGGCCTAGTGAAAGGTCTGACTCAGATGTGGCACTGGTTGCTTGAGAGGGTAATAGGGACCACACCATGGGGGCGACTAATCATCATATTCTTGCTATGTATACTGATATCCGAGCTCGAAAGTTGTGCCATGACATTTCAACTGTATTGGTTTGGTAATGCCCTGGAGTTTCTTCCCAAGCCCTTTGCCGGGTTCATACCCTGACCATGCCAGTATGCTTTCTATTTTGCTACTCCACCATTTATCTTTCTCAATTGCATTGACACGCTCGATGCGGTGATGAGTTTTTCCTCCCAACTTTCTTCTATTCTCGACAACCGGGACAGTTTGACTGGTGTAAATGGGATTACTTCCATCTCCGTGAATGATTACCTCTTGATGGTTCCGTTCGAACTTCACAGCCTGGTGTAGCGTAGAAGCCACAGCTCCAGCGGCTTGTATCCAAGGTCGTCCTAGTAAAAGATTGTACGAACCAGATATGTCTAATACTTGATACTCAACATCGAACCAAGTCGGGCTCATCTGGAAACAGAGGTTAATTTCCCCAATTGTGGCCCTTTGATACCCATCAAATGCCTTCACATTCATACTCCCTGCTCGTATCTCATGGAAATCTTTACCCAACCTTTTCAGAAAAATCAATGGACAAATGTTGAGGCTTGAACCCCCATCTATTAAGACTCTAGAGATGAATTTGTCCTCAAACTGTACTGTGATGTGCAGTGCCCTAATGTGACTTAAATCCTTCAGGCGGTAGTTCATCTTCGTGAAAGGTGATCTTGTGGCTTTCCAGTACTTGCCCCACCATATTGGCCATCTCTCCACTGGTGATGTTGTTAGGCACATAAGCTTCATTCAACACCTTCATCAGAGCATTCCTATGCACCTCAGAATTTTGCAGCAGCGACAAGATGGATATATGGGCGGGAGTCTTGTTCAGATGATCAAGACTGTACTTTCCTCCAGAGATCATCTGGACCGGTTTCAATAACGGGTTGTTTGGTAGCAGCTTCCTTGCTTGTTCCTCCCAAATTTTCGGGTGTGTAGATCCTTCCAGTTCTGGTCATCCCCTGTGTAGCACCAGATTCTTCCATCTTCGCTTTTCCTTTTCTCCTAGCTTCGGCAACGTAGTCCTAGGGTATGGCGTTAGACTTGAAAGGTGGTGTGGATGCTACTGTCACTGTGAAGGGTGTGGATACTTTTACTTTAAATGGAGTTGGTGTAGTCGTAGGTGTTGTTACTTCAATTCCAAATGGGACTGATGCGGCTACTTCAACTTCGATCGGTAGCTGTATCTGTACCACAATAGGAGTGAGTGGGACTACAGGTTTAGGGTCATCACCTTCCCGAATAAGCCCAATCGACCCTTCAGGATCCCATTCTTCATCGGTTTCTATCACATTTACTCCTTCACCCCTATGATCTGGGAGGGGATTGTTGCGGACATTTGGTGCGGCTTCCTTTGCTTGTATGACTTTGGTATCAATCAGGGTTTGAATCTTGTCTTTCAGAGTGCAGCATTCATCAATAGTATGCCCTTTCATGCCAGAATGGTATGCACATGTTTTGTTTGGGTTGACCCACTGGGAGGAGTTTTCCATGGCAACAACAGGACTAGGTTTAACATATCCGGGGGGAAAAATCACACTGATCAAGCATGTATTACAATCTCTCCCCACTTACACTCTGCCTGCTATGAGCCCCCTCAAAGGCACTATTACTCTCATGGAAAAACATTTTACAAACTTCTTCTGGGGTTCGACAGATGGGTCAAACAAATACCATTGGAGTTCTTGGCATAATATGTGTCTTCCCAAAGACGAAGGTGGCATTGGAATTAGGAAGATACAAGATGTAATTGATACTTTAGTATTAAGAGATGGTGGAGGTTTAGAATGCATAACTCTCTATGGGCCAACTTTCTCAGAGCCAAATACTGCATAAGATCTCACCCGGTAAGTAAAACCATGACTTCGGCAGATTCGCACAGTTGGAAAACCTGTTAAAGACCAGGCACAAGGTAGAAGTTCACATTAAATGGAGCATTCAAAATGGTTCATCAAGCTTCTGGTGGGATAATTGGACTGGTGAAGGCCCGCTTGCTCACTGGGTATTATTCACCCAAATGCACCTATTGCGGCAGTTTTCAAGAATTGGTGGGATGCAAAAACAAAGAATAAAATTCATGGCCTGGTTCTACAAGCTGCACCAACTCTTATTTGTTGGGAAATTTGGAAACAAAGAAGTTCATGTAGATATGCACGCAAAAGAAATTTCAACTCAATGTCATGAAACGCCAAGTTATATGGAACATCAACTCCATAGTAACCAAGCTTATGCCAAATGGAGACACCCAACACCACTGGCCTTCACTTTGCAGTAGAATTGAAAGGTTGAAACCTGTCCAAACATGGAGGCAAGTTCAGTGGCATCCTCCGCTCCATGACAAGGTCAAAGTTAACACAGATGGAAGCTACATCAAGGAAAGTGGGAAAGCAGGTATAGGAGGAATCATCAGATATGGGGATGGTAATTGTATCATGGCATTTGCAATGTCGGTCGATTGTCACAATCATAACATGGCCGAAGCTCTAGCTGCTGAATTCGGAGGAAAATGGTGTAACCAGTTAGGCTTCACTAATTTTGTTCTCGATCTTGACTCAAATATCATAGTGAACATGGTCAACCAAGAAGGAAACAAGAGCATGAAACTAAATATGGTGGTGGATAGAATTACAAGATTGGTTCAACATGCAAATGCAACGGTCCAACACTGTTATAGAGAAGGCAACCATGTAGCTGATGCTTTAGCTAAAATCACCTCCATTTCTGGCATGAATTTGATATGCCAATCATTCGAACAACTACCAAAAGAAGCTAAAGAACCCTTCATTATGGATAAGTGGCAAATGCTTAGTATTAGAACAAAATATGTGAAGAACAACTTTTTTGTTAGTTGAGTTTGATGTATATATAGTTATGACAGTAGAGTGGTAGATTCCTCTACTGTCCTTTTTTGGTTGATAGAAATCACCATGTTGTATTATGTTTCCGAGGTAAGGCCTAGCGCCCCTCACCGATCTTTTTTTGCAATACAATGCCCAAACCACTGTCTGGGGAGCTTTATTAAAAAAAAACTAAATTGTTACCAAATTTTGAAAGGGGTCATTCTTTTTGGAACGGACCAAAAAGGAAATAGGTTCACATAAACTGGAACAGAGGGAGTAATATGCAATTTTTATACGAGTTTCGACAAAAACTAAATCGGAATACCTCGATTTATGTTTTTTGGAAGGTTGAAGAATTGAATATTTGAGTCCGAAATGAGCAACCCACAACGAGAGAAGGCCTTAGCTAGGATGTGGCACCAACATACTTTACTTTTTGTGGGACGGGTGGGGTCCACTCGAATTCTTTTGGGTCGTTAATGGAGGGGGGGGGGGGGGGAGGGGACCGCTGGAGCGAAATTTTAAATTGGGGGGAGGGGGGTTGCTTTCTGTTCTGAACGTGGGGGAAGAGAAAGGGACGGCTAATGAAGATGTAAATCGTGGTTTAGTAAAGCGTTTTATATAAAGCGCTTTATTAAACCACGTTTTAGTTAAACGTCTTATCATCTTCAGGTAAAGCGTGGTTTGAAAGCGCGTTTCATACAAAACGTGGTTTTGAAACGCGCTTTACCTTAACGTCCCAAACATACGTTAAAGTAAAGCGGTTTAAAACCGCATTTTATATAGTTTGGTCACTAAATTTTCCCCCCACTTATTTCGGTATTTCGAGTCCAAAAAGACCACAATTGGGTTCCGGTCTCCACAATATACTAGGAGAATCTGCCAAAAGGCTAATAATATCAGTTGTAATAGTATTATACAACATAGTCAATTCCTTGCTAGCATATTTGCGACAGTTATATGTTCTCAAAGACATGGTCATATATACATACATACTCACATTGTTCCAAAGGTTGATAACTTTAGAACAACTAATTTAACAAAAAAAAAATATGATTATGACTTATGCTCTCCAGGCTCATTGGGATAAAAACTATAGGTCTTGTTAAAGATATAGAGCTTGCGCAGTCTATAGTCCATAGGAGTGGGTTGGATCCCCTCCAGTATTTCTTTAATTGCGTCCACTACATCTTTATTTGAAACATCAAACCTCTGGACCTCGTGCGTCCGAGTTTCTCCATCTCTGTCTTAAGTCTTTCAGTGTTTGTAATCTTCATTGCCATATTCTGGAAAAAAAGGAGCATGGTTTTCCCACCATGATGCTAATCACCTTAACATTTATTTTAAAATATAATCATCTTTTATATTTTCTACAGATTATAAATCATATCGTTCTCTTCATCAATTAGTGATCTCCAAGGAACAATCCAGTGATCCTACAAAGCCATAATGAATAGCAGCGATACGAATTTGAACTTCGAAGATTGTTGTAGCATCTTTTATGACTTCCAACTTCCAAAGGTTTTCCTAATTAGGCTTTCCTTTTTTTTTTTTTTTCGTTTGTTAATGCCATGGGAAAGCTCGCTTTCAGTTATGTAGTATCCCTCCTCTCACACCCCCCCCCCCCACCGGGGGCATACCCCATAAAAAGCTGGCTTCAAGATATAGTATCTTTGCATGGGATCGTGAACATGACAAAACTGTAGTAAAGAGGAAACCGAGATCTTGATAAGCTAAATGATATACTACTGTTTAATTCAAAAATTAGAAGTACAGATACAACAGGAACAGTTAATGTAGGCCAACAAAACCCATGTTGATGTTACATTCGACATTGTCCTGATCTAGATAGAAGTAGAACTTAGTCATTTTATTTTCTTCCATGAGAAAAAAAAAACTGAAATGGAAAAAGGAAAACACAATAACAAAGACAATAAACCACAAAAACATCATCTAATGAGAAGCAACAGACTTCATATTGTGTTGGCCATCGTTGATCCTTTAGCCGCAACCGTAGGTATGGTTAATAACATCGTAGTAACAATACTTACAATACCTATCATAGCAGTCACTGCTCGACCGGCAGTATCCGCCGCAACCACTCATCAAGCTCTTACCACCAGTTAGTTTTGATTTGAGTTCTGCCGGTACATTTGTCGGCAAGTCTCTCACAGCAAGTACTGGAGACTGAGCCAAATAAACTATAATCCAGTAATAAAAAACCAAATGTCAAAATCAATATGTTATACCATCGTTAATGTTCGAACGTGTAAAAGATTACACATTATATATATATATATAAACCTACATAGAGACATATCAACTAAACAGGAGTGAGGTGTAGAAAATGTAAAAGGTCATTTACCAGACATCACCATGAGCGCAATAGTGAAATAGAAAGCATAACTGCGAGCCATGACAAACAATAGTATTGCTTATAAGAGGGAGAAAGTTATATAAGAAAATGTGTTATTGGAGTGCAATTTTTTTGCTTCATAAAAGCCATGAATTTATAGGCCTCTTCTCCCCTATATTTTTCTATCTAAATTACAACTTGTGTTTAACCAAGATATTTTACTTACCAAGTTGAAACAAATTATTCAAGAAAGGGGAAGGAAAAGTCCAGATGATGAGAACCTTATCCAGATGATGAGATTCCCTCCAGTTTCTTTGCATGTTACTTGGTTACCAAGTGGGTATTATAGATTTTGATTCAACCTAATTAGTAACAACTAAATTAGTATTAAAAGTGGCTTACACACTACTAAGTACTTCTTGCAACCCTCACTTAGGCATCTATCTGATATGCCATTGTAAGAAAGAGGGGGGAAGTTACTGAGATCAAGAGCTCATTTCGAAAAATTCAACTTGCTTAGAAGATTAATTAAATTTGATAGCAAATTGCTTTAAAAGCATAGCTTCCCCATGCATTCTGATTAGTGTGGGGCCAATCTAAATTAAAAGCAATTAAAAAAAGAAGTAGATAACAACAAGTTGCAATGGCAACTTGTTGCAATAATGGCTGAAACAAAAATCAAGTTGCAACAAGGCTGAAACCAAAACAAGCTTGGACGTTGGCAACATGCAATAAATCAAGTATTTTGATTGGCTGAAATTTTGGCAATTCCTCCTATAAATAGGGGCTTAATTCTTCTTGTTTAGATACACCAAAAACGAGAGAGAAGCAAAAAGCTGAGAGTAATCCACAGATTGTAGTCTGTGAGATAAATAGTGAGTGTGAGTAATATTGTATTGAGGTATCTAAAATAAAGAGTGTTATTTCTTTTGAAATTGTAGTAGTCTCCTCACACTACTAAGTTGTAATATTATAGTAGTAATATTGCTCCACTGGGATATTGTATTTTACCCCGTTAAAAGATTTGGTGTCGTTGTTACTCTCTTGTGTTATTGTTATTTATCGTGGATATTATTCCTAGGCGGAAATATTATTTTCCTAACAACGTGGTATCAGAGCCATGACGAATAATAGTCCGCTGTCTTTTCAGTGTCCCTGTCTCATAAAAGATAATTATGAGAAATGGTGTCTACGTATGAAAGTCATTCTTGGCTCCCAGGATGTGTGGAAAATCGTAGATAGAGGGTATGCAAAATCCGATAATGAGGAAGCTCTGCCTCAAAATGAAAAAGATGTCTTGGCAAAGACAAGGAAGAAGGATCAACAAGCCCTCACGCTCATCCACCAATGTTTGGATGATGTCATGTTTGAGAAGGTGGCAGATGCTACCACCTCAAAGGAAGCTTGGATATTTTACAAAATTCTCTTCAAGGAGATGACAAGGCGAGGAAGGTAAAACTTCAAACTCAAAGGGTTGATTTTGATGTTTTAAAAATGAAAGAATCCGAATGCATTTCGGATTATTGTTCAAAAGTGAAGGCTGTTGTGAATCAGTTAAGAAGATACGGGGAGGACATAGAAGATGTCCGTGTGGTAGAAAAGATCCTTCGCACTTTAACACCTAAATTTAATTTTGTGGTGTGTGCTATTGAGGAGTCTAAAGATTTAGACTCTATGATGGTGGAGCAATTGGAGGGTTCTTTACAGGCTCATGAAGAAAAGATCAAGAGGAGACAAAAAGTGCCACTAGAGCAACTTCTTAAAACTCAGGCATCCTTTAAGGATTATGGAGGTGAAAAAAGCTATAGAGGGAGTGGACGAGGACGAGGCCGTGGCGGTCATGGAAGAGGAAGAACTAATAGTAACAACTTTAAAAATGAAGTTAAAATCCACCAAACATTCAGAGGTCGTGGTCGTGGACAAAGAGGAGGAAGAGGACGTGGCTACTACCAAGAAAATAGTGGACAAAGGTATGACAAATCAAAAATTGAGTGTTATAATTGTCATAAATTTGGCCATTAGTCTTGGGAATGTCGTAGCAATGTTGATGAAAAAGCTAACCTTGTTGATGACAAGAAAGAAGAAGATGAGTCAACATTATTGCTGGCACTCAAGGAAGAAGACAGGGATGATTGTAGCTCATGGTATTGGGACAATGGAGCAAGCAATCATATGTGTGGATGCAAAGAAAAGTTTGTGGAGATCAATAAAACGGTGAGAGGTAATGTGTCATTTGGAGATACCTCAAAGATTCAAATCAAAGAGATAGGTACGATTCTGATCTCATGTAAAGGTGGTAGTCACAAGCTAATTCAAGATGTTTAGTATGTGCCAAAATTAAAAAGTAATATTTTGAGTTGGGGCCAACTTCTTGAAAAGGAATATAACATCCACATGAAAAATATGCATCTTTGGCCTAGAGATTCAAGTGGAATGCTAATTGCTAAAGTGCATATGGCAAAGAATAGATTATTTTCTTTGAATCTTAAAACAATTGATGCAAAGTGTTTGAAGGCTAATGTGCAAGATGAATCATGGTGTTGGCACATGCGATTTGGGCACTTGAATTTTGAAGCGCTCAAAACAATGGGAGAAAAGAACATGGTGCATGGGATGCCATCAATCAACCATCCCAATCAATTGTGTGAAGCTTGTCTTCTTGGAAAACCTGCAAGGAGGAGTTTTCCAAAGGAGGCCATGTCAAGATCAACCAAACCTCTTCAGCTTATTCACACTGATGTGTGTGGACCAATCAATTCACCTTTGGTAAAAGTAAATACTTTCTGCTCTTCATTAATGACATTAGTAGAAAGACTTGGGTTTATTTGTTGAACCAAAAATCTGAAGCTTTTGCTGCTTTTAGAAATTTCAAAGTACTTGTGGAGAAAGAAAGTGGCTATGAAATTAAAGCTTTAAGGTCTGATAGAGGAGGCGAATTCACTTCAAAAGAATTTAATGACTTCTGTCAATCTCATGGAATTCGCCCTCTAACGGTACCTTATTCACCTCAACAAAACGGAGTTTCAGAGAGAAAGAATCGAACAATTCTTAATATGGCTAGATGTATGTTGAAAGCTAAAAGTATGCCCAAGGAATTTTGGGCCGAAGCTGTTTGTTGTGCAATTTATTCGAACAACAGGTCTCCAACAAGGAATGTTAGAGATCGAACCCCTCAAGAAGCATGGAGTGAAAGAAAGCCAAGTGTCAAGCACTTGAGAATCTTTGGGAGCATAGCCTATGCTCATGGGCCACATCAAGGGGGAGCAAAGCTTGACGATCGAAGTGTCAAGCATGTATTTGTTGGCTATGATACGAGTTAAAAAGGCTACAAATTATACAACCCAAGCAGTGGCAAGGTGGTGGTAAGTCACGATGTTCAATTTGATGAAGAATTGGCATGGGATTGGGAAGCTCAGGAAGAAACTTGATATGATTTTCTTCCATACTTTGGTGATGAAGAACAACCAGAGACCGTGGAACCTGTGCAGGATACAACTCCACCTCATTCTCCAACCAATGTTGCATCTCCCTCTTCTCAAGAAAGTTCAAATGAACAGCCGCAAAGGACAAGGAGTATTTAAAAGCTCTATGAGGACACAGAAGAAGTTACTAATTTTGATTTTTTATGTTGTCTCTTTGCTGACAGTGAACCAATGAACTTTGATGAAGCTGTTACAAACAAAAGGTGGAGACAAGCCATGGAGGAGGAGATTGAGTCAATAGATAAGAACAACACTTGGGAGTTAACAACTCTTCCCAAGGGTCATCGAACAATTGGAGTAAAATGGGTATACAAGACAAAGAAGAATGTTGATGGAGATGTGGAGAGATACAAGGCACGACTTGTGGCTAAAGGCTATAAGAAAAGGCAAGGCATTGACTATGAAGAAGTCTATGCACCTGTTGCCCGCATGGAGACGATTCGTTTGCTGATCTCTTTGGTGGCGCAAATAAAGTGGAAGATCCATCAACTAGATGTCAAGTCAGCCTTCTTGAATGGCTATCTTGAATAAGAAGTCTATGTTGAACAAACATTAGGCTTCGTGATCAAAAACCATGAAGAAAAAGTGTTGTGGTTGAAGAAAGCTTTATATGGATTAAAGCAAGCCCCACGACCATGGAATAGTTTCATCGACAAATATTTTCAAGACAATGGGTTTACTCGTTGTCTCCATGAATATGCTCTTTACCATAAATTTCATACTAATGGAGATATCTTACTTGTTTGTCTTTATGTTGATGATTTTATTTTCACGGGCAATAACTCAAGTTTGTTTGAAGCTTTTAAGAAAGATATGTCCCGTGAGTTTGAGATGACAGAGGTAGGGCTCATGTCATACTACCTGGGCCTAGAAGTGAAGCAGATGGAGGATGAAATTTTTATCTCTCAAGAAAGCTCTACAAAAGAGATATTGAAGAAGTTCAACATGCTCGATTGCAACCCCGTGAACACACCGATGGAGAGTGGGACAAAATTGTCCAAGTTTGATGAAGGAGAAAAAGTGGATCCCACATTTTTCAAAAGTCTTGTGGGAAGTTGAGGTACTTGACTTATACCAGGCTAGATATACTCTTTGCAGTTGGAGTAGTAAGCCGTTTCATGGAAGCTCCTACCTCCACTCATTTGAATGTCGCTAGAAGAATTCTTCGCTACCTAAAAGGTACGACTGACTTTGGGCTATCTTATTCCTCTTCTAGTGATTTCAACCTTATGGGATATTGTGATAGTGATTATGCGGGAGATAGTGATGATAGAAAAAGTACAACTGATTTTGTATTTTTCTTGGGTAATTCTGTTATTTCTTGGAGTTCAAAGAAACAATCAATTGTTACTCTCTCGACTTGTGAAGCTGAGTATATAGCAGCAGCATCCTGTACATGTCATGCTATTTGGCTGAGAAGATTATTGAAGGAGCTCAATTTACCACAAATTGAAGCTACAAAGATTTGTATTGACAACAAATCCGCACAGGCACTCGCGAAGAATCCAGTGTATCATGATCGAAGCAAGCATATTGATACAAGGTATTACTTCATCAGAGAATGCATTGCCAAGAAGGAAGTCGAGCTCAAGTATGTGAAGTCACATGATCAAGTTGCGGATATTTTTACCAAACCTCTCAAGTTTGAAGATTTCCAGAG